GAGCGAAGGAACAGGGGGCGCGAGCGCGGACGTCCTTGGCGACGCAAGGGGTAATTAGGTGCGGAGGCGCACTCAGCTCCGCAGGCCCTGCCAACGCTCGTTTGGAGGGACTTTGCAAGGAAGGAAAAGAAAGCGACGAGAACGTTTGCAGTGGCCCCTCCGCGGCCTCCTGGCGCGGGGGCCTCCCGCGCGCGGGCGGGCGCCCACAGTTGCTAACGCTCCGAATTTGGTTGTGCGCGCCAACGGCCTTGCAGCGCGCCCCGAGAGCCGCGGTCGGGCTTCCCCGCCAAATGCACTTCGCCCCCCCCCGGTGCAAACCCCCAAATGCGCTTTGCAGCGCCAGGGGAGGAAGGCGGATGCCCCCGACAAGGCCCCGTTGGACATGCCGCAAGACTGCCAGCAAGCCCTCGCGGCAAAGAAGCGCGCGGCCCAGAACGCCGGCGGCTCGCCGCCGCGCCTCGCGCCAGCGCGCGCGGGCCGCGGCCCTGCAGTGCGCAGGGGGCGTTCAGGGCGCAGCCCAAGCCCCCCCCTGTTCAATCTCCATACTTCCACCTGCTCCGATCGCCACGCCACTGAACGCCTCGGCCCCGGAAGCTGGCCCAGCCCCGCCAGCTGCCGGAGCCCAGCCCCGAGCTCCGCGACGCCCATTGGAAGTGGGAGAGGAGTTGTTTGCTAAAGGAAACAAGCCCTGTACTAAAGAGCTGTTGCTCTGTTGCGCGACTGCTGCGGCGGCGCGTCCGAATTGCCGAGCCGCGCCCTGCGCTCGCGCCCTGGCCCCCCTGTCAAGGAGCACCTACAACTCGCTGAAAACATGTCCAAGGGTCGCCGCGACGCGATGCAGCGCCACCCTGACTGCTCAAGCAAATGCATCGCGAGGTGGACTGCCCGGAAACACAAGGGCCCCCCGCCCCCCGACTGGGCCCGGGCCCCGCGCCGCCGCCGCATCCCCGCGGCTCTACCAGGGCAGACCGCGGACTTCACTACAGCGACTAAGCGATTTACCAAAGCGAAGAAAAGGCATTACTAAAGCGAGAAAGCTGCTCCACTCCAAAAAAGACCAGGCTCTGCTTTAGTAAAGGCGCGACGCTCAATCCATGTAGAAAACGACGTCTCAGTAAAGCGGCACGCATAAATTTCGCCACTCTCGACAAAACTGGCGCCGTTCTCCAGGAGCGAGGGCGGGGCGCGAGTTCGCCCGCGGACCCAGGCCCCGTCGCCGCCGTCGCCGCGATGTTCGTCGTCGCCGCCGCGACGCCCGCGCGCTGACGTTCTTGTCAGCGGCGCGCCGCGCGCGACCGCGCGCGCCGCTGAGCTCGCATTGCCGCTGGCCCGATGGGAATCTAGGCGGACGTGTTGTTGTTGTTGTTGTTGTTTTTTTCACCCGCTATTCGTTTAAAGTAATGACGGGAGACATGCGCCTCTGAGCCCGGCGCTCCCGTGGCCCGGAGTGCCCCGGAAGGCGCGGGGTGTCGAGCTCCTCCGCGCCTCTTCTGCAACCCTCAGGCGGGCGTCTCGGCGCTGCCAGCGAGGGCGCGGGGTCTCCGCCTCTGCCGCCGCCCCCGGGTGGATGTCCGCGCGCCGGCGCATTGCCTGCCACGGCGGGCCAGATAGAGCCAGAACTGGGGGCGCTGGTCGCGCGCCACGCGCGAAGCGGGGCCCCGCGGCGCGGGCAGCGCTTCGCGGCCGCGACGCGCGGCCCGTTGACCTGGCGGTCTCGGGCGCCCGCGGCGCGTCAACCGTTCGTTCATAATGCCTCCTGCGCCCCAGCGCGCGCGCAACGACGGGCCGCTCTGGGCGGAACAGAACGCGGGCGCGCGCCGCCCCGCACGCGGCCCGCGGCACTGCCGACGCAGTTAGCAGGCGCCGGGCCCCCCGCTGCGGTGTCCGCAGAGATAACGCCCGCTAGTGGTTCCCAATATTCTTGCATCTCCCACTCCATGTCGCCCCTCAGGTCAGAGCGCGCCAGGAACTTGTCAGGGGCGCCCTGCGCGGCCGGCCACTGCCCCCAGCCGATCGAAGGTTCCGCAGCGTCCGCATCGGCAGGGCGGACGCAGCCCCAGTCGAACGACTCGACCATGGAGCAGTCATTCTCTTGGAGGGTGATTCCCCTGCTGGCGCGCGGCCACCACACGCGCGGCTGTGCCAGCGCGTGGTGACAAGTAGCAGGAGTGCCGGCACGCTCTTGGAACTGGGTCCAACACTCGCCCAGTTCCTGTGCTTTTTCTGCCCCAAGGCATTGACGTCCGCGGGCACCGCGTCGCCATGCGACGAAGGGCGCCAATGCAGCGATGAAGTTGCACTGGAACGCCGTTTTGCCCTGAATGGCCCTTGCCTTCAGCCTCCTCGACTCGTTCATCCGCCATCCGATCCTTTCGCAGCCTTTGGTATCGCAGGAACGGGGACGCAGTTCCTGGTTTCCTGGTAAGCAATCGCATCTGGCACCTTCTGAAACCCGATATGGGGCCACCGTCGCGCTGGCCCCATCAAAAGAAGCCCGATC